ATACCTGATTTCAACTTGTTTATAAAACCTCAAGGACGTTTGAAGGAAATTAATGGTACATGTCAAATATCAAAACAAAAAAGGGTTTTACATTTTGGTATGCTTTGGGATTTCAAATTGATGGCAATTACATTTTTGTGAAACATACCTATAGAAAAAGTTATAAAACAAGACCCAGGAGTTCCCTGGTGGTAAGGATTCCAGGCCTTCACTGCTGAAGCCCAGGTTCAATCCCTGGTTAAGGGAAATGAGATCCTACAAGGCCCGCAGGATGGCCAAAAAAAAAAAGGCTGTATAATGTGCAAGGTATACTATAATGTACAAGAATGTGTAATACATTATTTTTAACAGTGAAAATCTAAAATTTCATCACACTATAAATTTCATATCCACACTATAGAATACAAAAGTTTTATAGATGAAGTATATTATAAGCATGAAAATGACATACTATATAACACAATACAAAATGAAAGCAAGAAGTTGCAGATATACTGTATGAAAATTAGAAGTGTGTTAATGTGTTTACATATGTGACCAGAAACAAAGGCCTGAAAGGATACACAAGAAAGTTACCAGTGTTTGTGATTGCCCTGGGAGAGGGAAAACAGGAGGAAAGGCACTGATATAATGTTTAAACTTTTTTTCCTGAAAGATCATGTACAATTTACAACTTGAAAATGCAAATATTTTGTATTCTTAAAAATAAGACATAAAAATACTTGGATGAAATGATTTCACTGAAGAACAAAAAATATAGCTCTTGATATCATAACTATAACATACGCTTCTTAAGCAGTTATAATGATATAACAAGATCTATTTTTCTGTTCAAGTACTTGGTGCTATTAGTTCTATGTTTTTAAATTTTAATTTAATAAAGCCAACAAATCCCTTTTGGAAACAGGTAAGACATTAATCCTAAACTGAAAAACCCTGTTTACTAAAGGGTAGTAATAATTTTTTTTTTAAAAACTCCATAATGTCTTTAGCAAAGTTTATTCTGAGAATTTCAGTTGATAGCCAAAGTATGAACCACAAGATGTACTTTACAACTCTAAGTGATTTATGATAGTACAGAGACATAATAAATTTGAACTTTGAATTACTGACCATCTTGTTGTCCACGCTATGAATAAAGTAGATTATCATCATTCAGGTGTCCTTTCACTAATAACATTTTAAGTTAAATGTAATAATAAGTAAGGACTCCAGATTCCAGAATCTTTACTATTACTTTTATTAGTTCATTTGAATGACAAACTCTTTCAGTCACTGTTTGCAATGTAGCTTTAAGGTACATTTGCTATTAGTCCGAGATAACTCTGAACAGGTTCACTATTACATACTTTAATAAGCAGCAGTTACACTAACGTGTTTGTGGTTTAATTTCGGATATTTTGTTCATTCTCCTTTGTATGTAAGTTCATCTTAGGGGCCCTTAGGGAAGCAATTATTTTTTTCATGCTTCTAGAATATTATTAGGAATAGCATCCTTACAATTCATTAATATAAATCAATAGGTATGCAGTATAAATCTATTAAAAACTATTCCATAACTAACTTCCATTAACAGAGGGGACAAACAGGAGAATGTCTCTCTTCTAAGCACCTTGATAATGTTTCCTTATATTTAAGCTAAGCACTTGAGAACAATTATTTGTTTTCTAACCTGGGTGTATCAAGAGAACTGATAATTTTCACTCTTTCAACATTTCCGGAGTTTAACTGAGCCACAGGCCGCAGGAGGCAGCTGGGATAAACAGATTCAGTCTCTAAGGAAGTAACAATTTAACAATTTAAAGGGAAAAAAAGGAATACAATTGACTCATCATTAACCCGTAACTTTGAAAAAGAGAAAAGCAGAGAAAAGAATTGGGAAATGTTGTTCTTTGACAATTAACACACATACATTGTCCCATCCACTTTCAAAAATCCTTGAGTGGTTTTCTGCAAGCACAATGTGTGTGTGTTCACTCAGTCCTGTTCAACTCTCTGAGACCCCATGGCCTGTAGCCACTCTGCCAGGCTCCTCTGTCCATGGAATTTCCCAGGCAATAGTGGAGTGAGTTGTCATTTCCTCCTCAAGGGGATCTTCCCCACCCAGGGATGGAACCCATTTCCACAGTCTCCAGAAGCGGCAGGCAGATTCTTTACCACTGGGCCACCTGAGAACATGGTGGGAAAAAAGTGCTACCAGGCAGGGCCCTTGGTTTCTAGATTCTCCACACAGTAGCTGTATGACCTTAGGTTTGTCACTTAACCAGCCTTGGCCTGTTATCTCACCTTAAAATGTCAGTACTGTCTTACTAGCCTAAACCAGAATCATCTTACCAGCACAAACCAAATCGTCCTCAGTGGTTTCCAGGTCAAAGATCCGCATTACTCACATACTCATCTTATTCTCCCAGTAATCATGGCCTAGGAACCAGTGTGAGTAAGCTAGGTGAATTCCAGTTCCTAAACTGAACTTTCACATCACCAAGAGAATAATAAGGCCCTGGACTGTGCTTTGAACGCTGTGACTCAAAAAATGTATTACACAAGCTAAAGATACAGTCTTAAAAAGATGATCAAGAATGACTGTCTTAACTGTGTACCATCCTAGTACAACAGCAGGGTGTATTTTCGACCGTGAAACCGAGTTTCAGCAGTACTGAAACCACGCCTCCCATAGAAATCCAGGAGCTATCAGAATAACCTCTCCAAAGGGCGGGGGAGAGAGATAAACCAGGACAAGCTTTCCAAAAACAAAACAGAACCCAAACAAACAAACATTAAAAAAACAAAACTGTTTTTTTCTTCCCCTCCAGCTATGCAGCTGCACCGAAAAGAGAAGCCCTTAGATTAGCATCATCTGCGTTTCATTCCTTTTCTTTTGCAATACTAGCTACCCGCCTATAATAAACAGACCTTGTGCTCAAGGGAAAATTTACTTCCCCATCCAGTAAAAACGAAGTTCCTTATTTTCACTAACAACGAACGCCTTCTCCAATCAGTATCCACCCTCCCTGGGGAGACCAGACACTCCTTTCTCGCCACCTCCCACTGCGGGCCTGACACCCCACATCCCAGAAATCGCCCCACTTTTCGAGCCCCTGCTGCACCGGTCGCGAGGCTCTGGGGGGAAGCGAAAGAGACCCAGGGTGCGACGTGCACCCCAGCACAGGCGTCCTGCCCAGTCAGTGAGCCCCCCCCCCGGTGCCTCCGCCGGCCGGGGTCTCGCGAAGGCGGAAGGGGAGCGGCGCGCCCCGCGCCACCCCCACTTACCCACTTTGTCCTTCCCGTACATGTGGCCGGCCACCTGATGCGAGAGGGGCACGCAGCCGTTGAGGAAGCGGAGCCTGCCGCCCGCCGGCTTTGGGGTGCCCTCGGGGGCGGTCTCGCTCGCCAGTGGGGTCCGCATTTCTGGGGGGCCGGGCGCCTCAAGCCGGAGAGGGGATGGCGGCTCCGTTGCCATAACGGAGAGCTGAGGCGGCAGCGGCGGCGAGAGCAGGGAAAAAAATAGGGTGGAGGGAGAGGGCGCCGGAGAACCCGAGGGTCGCTCAGGCTCGGCCGCGAGGAGGCCCGGGGGTTCCTGCGGCTGGTGCCCGCTGTGGCCCGGGGAGGGGGCCCATGACGCCGCGGAGGCGCGGGCGCTCCCCTGCCCAACTCTCCGCGCGGGGCGGCTCTCGGCTCCCGCTTCTCTGCCGCCGCGGCTGCCGATCCCGGTGCAGCCCTGGAGACAGATCCAAGCCCAAGAGCAGCGGCGGCGGCGGCGCCCCGCGCTCCCCGGGGCCTTGACGGCGACGACAGCCCCACCTCCCGCGCCCCCGCCCCCTCCCGCCGTCCTCCAGTCCCCTTAGCTGCCGCGCGCGCGTCAGCGCCGCCTGCACGGCCGCCTCCGCCGCGAGCTTCCTACTGCGCGACCCGCGGCAGCCGCCGCTACTGAGCATGCCCAGAGGCCGCCCGACGGGACCCCCGCGGCGGGGCGCGCGCTCGGCGCTGCCCCGGCGAGCGGAAGGACCTGGAAGGGGCGAGCACGAGCGGAGCTCTTCTCACCCCCACCCGATGGGCCTCTTGGTGCAGCACGGGTTAGTCCTTCATTCATTCAGTACGCGTTTTAGCGCGTCCCCGGCTTAAAGACGTCTGGTTCTCGCAGTCTTAAGGGTCAGTCAGTCACTGGTTAAGAGTTGGGAGGCAGAAGCGATGCCCTGGGTGTTTTGGGAGACCACCTTTTACCGCAATCACCTTCCTCCAATTCCCGCTCCGGAAAGATACAATAGGAGTAAAACCAGGCAGCCTTCGAAACACCCTTTAAGTAATCCTAACTTCCTCACCAAATTGGTGCCTCTAAACAACTTATAACAAGCTATAAACAACTTATTCAAAAAATTTTGAAACCGACACTAATTTCAGACTGTAGAAGATAGGAAATCTTAAATTTTTTTAAGTGAGAACGTTTTTTAACAGAAATGAGCCGCATTTTTTTTCCTCTCTCCCACTGGACCCTTAGAGCAAGTTCCAAGATGCTCAAAAGATGGAGAATTGTGTCGAAATCAAGAAAAATAAAGGGGCGGGGGTGCACACTGGGAGCGAGGGGGAGATTCTGGGATGGGACACCACAGTTGGTTCCTGTGTTTGGCATTTCAAATGAAAACTGGACCTGGCCTTCCAGGTACCAGACTAAGCAAGAAATTTGGGAGTGAAATCTTAGATATCCGACTATGGCAAGTGTTATAGCAGCACAGACAATCCGCCCCCATAAATCCGCACACCTGGGAGAGACATAAAACCTGGCCCGGACTCCCTATTCCAAAGGTGGGTCCGCTGGGCCCTAGGACCAAGCCCCTCAGGATTGCGCAAACTCAGTTGCTGTCTCTCTAGGTCTCTTCCTCCTCCCTCCTCTTGTGGCTGTCAAAATCCGTAGTCCACACTTCCTAAAGGGCCGGGACTCAGCTCCGCGCATGCTCAGTATCAGCCCGGGTGCTTAATACACACGTGCTGACGGCCAGTCGCGGCGCCTGCGCGTAGCTGCTTGGAGTCAGTGACCTTAGGACGTACGCCTGTCGCACCTTGAGTCCTGCTGTCCGCGCGAGCCGGTTTGTGCTCAGTGTCCTGTGCACACCCTTGCAAGTGACGGCGCCATGACTATGACTTCCAGCGTACGAGGTGAAGTGGGGCATGGGAGTGGGTGCGCCTGGCGGCCTGCGCATTGGTTGCAGCTTACTCAGCACCTCCTTGGACTGTTACTGCTGCCGTGCGTTCCCGCCAGTCCTATAACCTTGAAATAGAGAAGGGCAAAAGCTCCACGGGCCTGCAGCTTCCCCGGGCCGCATGGGACAAAGGGGCGAGATCAGGCTACGATCGCGGGGCGTAAATGGCGTGGGGGCCATGCAGGTATCTACCCAGGTCTAGACCTCGTTTCCCCTAGCTAGCCAAACTCTAAATCCTAATGATCCCGCTACTCTGCTAGCTTTTCTTGTTCTTCCCTGAAACTCCTCTCTGTTAGGTCACAGGGCTTGGGGAAAAGGAAAGGTGAAAACAAAAGCAAAAAAAAAAAAACCCTTCCCCTTCTCAAGGTTTAAATCACCGTGGAGTGAAAACGTGGGTTTCCTGCAGCTCTCAAGCGAGGCATGACTAATCACATCTTAGTTTTGCACATTTTTTTAAAAGGAAGAAACGCAATCCGAAGTCTTCAGTTTTACCAGTTTGGGGGTGTTTGTTTTTTTTTTTTTTTTTCAATTATGCCCCTGGCATCTGGCTCTAGGTGGTGGTAGTCCAGGAGAGAGGATTTGAAAACAGCTCGTTGAGCCTTCACGTTTCTCAACCTTGCTTCCCTAGTGCTGCTACCTAGTTTTCTGAAATTTTACTTCACAGAAGGTCCGATTAAAATTAAGGGACTTTCTAGAAGTCAATTAGTATGGAGCTTCACTTTATAGCAACTCTTAGTGGTAATATAATTGTTAATATAATAATGTATACCCGGTGCGTGATAGAAGTAATCTTTGCCCAGATATAAAACACCACACCTCGGGGTTTGGTTGCCTGTAAAATTAGTTAGGTAAAGAGATTGTCCAGAAGTTAATTAAAATAGCATTATTGATTCATTTACTGCCAGGTTCTGTAACAGATCCCTGATAACTTGTGCCCTAATTTTGTAATAGATTCTATAAATTGGCAAATTCACTTGTAGCCAAAAGTCACCTAATTGAATGAGAGTGATAACGCATGACATTTTTAAGTTACTAATGCAGTATAGAAGAGCTGGTTATTTGCACAACTTATTTTGAAGTTTCGAAAGTTTTTATTTCACCTAAAAGCATAAGGATTGTTGTGAGGACTATGGGGAGCGGCCCAAAGCCTTTGTAAATCACCTCTATGGGTGCCGTCTTCCACAAATACTGTGGTGTGGCAAGGGACAGAATATCCATTTAGATCTCAAATTCTTCTACTCTGTTTTTAAACCAAACCTGTTCATTGCTATAGATTGAAAATCAGCTTAAATCTTTTGATTTGGGGGAGGATGATCATGTCTTTCCTCAGTTAAGTAAGTGAATTATATATTTATATATATGTGTTTTATAGTTTTTATATATATTATACTGTTATAAAGGGAATAGGATGGCATTTGGCCCTGGACAGAGGAACCTGGTGGGCCACAGTCCATGGGGTCACAAAAGAGTCAGACACGACTTAGCAACTAAACCCACCATAACAACAAAGCGCGATATAAATAAATGTTAAATAAAAAATAAAAGGGTGTGTATATGCTTGCAGAATTCTTGTTTATATTCAGGGAAAGAAATAATGGGTGGGAGACTTCCTTGAGGGTCTGGTGGTTAGGACTCTGGACGGATGGAGTAGCAAATCTCTTAGAGAAAATCTTTATCTAAATTATTTCATCTGATTGATGATTGTCATTTATAACTTTATTGCTACTTCTATTTCAGGTATGCCTTTGGAAAAGGTGTGTGGATTCATTACATATTCTAATATATTGTCTATAGGTATAAGATAAAGTCAAGCAGGTATCTGCTGATACTTTTTAAGTTGACCTATCTTTATACTTAGAAGTGTCTCTTAATAGTAAGCTTCCGGGGTGGCTCAGATGGTAAAGAATCTGCCTGCAATGCTGGAGACCTGTGTTTGATCCCTGGGTCGGGAAGATCCCCTAGAGAAGAAAATGGCAACCCACTCCAGTATTCTTGCCTGGAGAATTCCATGGACAGAAGAGCCTGGTGGGCTACAGTCCGTGGTGCTGCAAAGAGTCAGACACTACTGAGAGACCGTCACTCACTCACTCACTTCCAATGCAGGGGTCCTGGGACCTGTCCTTGGTCGGGGAACTAAGATCCTGTATGCCACTCGCCTCACCCAAAAATTAAATAAATTACAATAAGAATAATAAATTTTAAAAAATAATGGTTGGGCTGGAAATAAAATGAATGCAGATCAGGTCAGGACTTGAATCTGGGAGAGGCAATGAGGATGAGCAATTGGAATTATAATCCAACAATCCCAGTCAGAGAGATGGCTTTTGGTACCCACTTTTTTTCCTTACTGATGTATAATTGACATTCTTATACCAAACATACTTTTTATGTAATGTCTGTGAGCGTGTATTTGTATGTGTGCTCAGTTGTGTCCAATTCTTTGTGACCCCATGGACTATAGCTTGATAGACTCTGTCCTTGAAATTTTCCAGGCAAGAATACTGGGGTGGGTTGCCATTTCCTACTCCAGGAGATCTTCCTGACCCAGGGATTGAACCTGAGACTCTTGCATCTCCTGTATTAGCAGGCAGATTCTTTATCACTAGTGCCACCTGAAAAACCCCTTTTTATAGGACACCAAATCTTTATTACAGTTTTAGAAACTATAAGAAACATTAAGCAGCTTTCACTGCTACAGAGTCCCATTCTCGAAGGAGTCTTCCTCATACCCAATAGGTTACTTCTAGGAAGTTTACTAAACTTCTTGCTCCTCTGTATCTCTAAAACTCATTGAATCTGCTCCCATCCTTAATACCTTTCCTTCTACTTTACTCTCAAGGTATGAAATAGGTGTTAGGCTATCTGCCTTGTGCTTTGTTATGTAACCCAAACCCTGAGCACTGCAATGGAGGTGGTGGTTTAGTTGCCAAGTGGTGTCTGACTTTTTGCGACCCCATGGACTGTAGCCCGCCAGACTCCTCTGTTCATGGGATTTTCTAGGCAAGAATACTGGAGTGGTTGCCATTTCCTTCTCCAGGGGATCTTTCCAACCTATGTTGCAGGGGGATTTTTTACGGACTGAACCATCAGGGAAGCCATCAGCACTACAATGCATGTAACCAAAACTAATCCTCTGACCGTTATATTGTTGTCTCTTTTATTGAAACTAACTCTAATTTTCCATTCCATTTAATCTCAACATATAAAAATACTGCTTGGGTTCAATAAATTTATTGAGTCATTTAAAGTAACTATTCAAGGATTTGTTTTTTTATCTGAGAAGGGATGTGCAGATCATACTGCAAATAAAGGCGATAGCTCCTATAGGTTATAAGCAATAAATAATGAAGGGACTTGGGAGCTATCGATGAAACAAGATTGGCAGAGAATTGATATTTGTTGGAGCTGAGTGAGGATAAATGGGAGTTTAGTACATTATTTTCTGTGTTGGTCTGAAGTGTTCCATCATGAAGTTTTATTTTTAATCTCAGGAAGTACTTGAATTCCACACTTTGATACTGAAGGATAAGATGAGGCCATAGAGAAGTCATTTTTGTGAGAGCAATGTGATAGTAGGATGGACAAATGGAGTAGCAAATTCAAATTAGGAATCTGTTATATCTTTTTATTGAACTAACATTGGACACTGCCTGTACACTGGGCCTGGAAAGAAAAACATTACCAAGCATAGCCTACGGAGCTGAGGGAGACCCGAGAAAGGCAGAGATTTAAGCCCAGCTCCTCGCCCCGTCTCCTGAGGCGGAGGGTACATTCTGATTCCATGGCAGTTGACACTGGTCAGGAGAGGACAGTTTGGGGCCGAAAAGGGGCTAAAGGAAAAGAAGCAGGGTGAGGTTTCTGTCTTGGGTTAAAGCAAATGATTCCCACAGTAAAGAAAAGTTAAGAAATAAGTTATAAATGAGGGTGTGGGATTTGGGAATAAGTTGATGTTTTCTCTATCTGTAATTAATACTAAGAAAACCAAAGATTATATACAAAGACTGTAAACCAAGGGAAGAGTAAGAAAGGGAAGGATTATTTCGAAATGTATTTTTTGTATTTTCTATTTTGGCACATGTGATACTTGTATAGATAGAAAGCATTGTTAAGCAAAGTAAGCATTTGATCTAACTATAGGACTACTGTACATTGAGATAGGCGTACAAAAAAGGGAAGTAAGGATAACTAGAAGAGGCAGAAATAAAGCTTAGGATATTTCTGGACCCCAATTTTGAAAGAATGTCTGAAAGGTGCCAACTGAAATATCTTTAGAAATAAGGTCTTGATAAAATCCCTTGTTTACCCTGAGATTGTGTCTGTTCTTCATAGACGTATACACTATCAAGAACTAAATGTTACTTGGGTTTTGCTTATTGCTTTTATCTGTTTACTGTCTTGAGTTTTCAATTCTTTGTCCATTGTAATTGTTGACTTTTGAATCCATCATTCTTGTCTATCTCCATATAGTTCCCTTTTCTCTCTTTTCCCTAGAGTTGCCAGTGGCATCCATAGCTTTTTGCCAGAAAGACTGATTCAGGCTGCAGTAATGAAATGATAAAACAGCAACATTTTTCTTATTCTGGGAACTTTTACATTTGTCTCTAATGAGGTTAGAGAATTAGAATTTGGGAAGGAGGGAGGGATGGAAGTTGTTTTCTTAAGACCTTATCTGACTGTATGATTCTATCAAACTCATTGGAGCAAATGCAAAGACATTTCCCTAGCACACATATGGTGCCGTGAAATTTATATACTGTCATAAGTGACCCTCGTTGGGTTAGGGTAACAGAGTACATGTTTTGAGACAAATTAATCCTAGCCTATTGTAGTTCTTTTTCAATCTCAGACCTTCATGTACTATGTAGGCACCATTAAAACAAATACGTTAGCAATACTTCAGATTTCACCTCAAAAGTAAGGAGTAACTAAGATCAACAGCATTTAGGGAATTATTTTATTTCAGTCTTTTGGCTGTTTCCCACTTTTAAGTTTGCCCTAAGGATTCAGCATTCAGAAGACATAATTGAAAATATACCTTCAAAGCTCTATTTTAGCCCATTTTGTGATGGGTAATTAGCTATTCAGAGTGGCTTTCCCTTAGCTAAGAAGTGGATTCCCATACCTCCTGACATTTTTTCAAGGGAATTCCGTGATTGAAAAAATACGGCAGAAAGGAAGATCTTGAATCAAACTAGAAATCAGAGCTAGTGTTAGCCCTGCTTAGATTTGCCACAGAATGATACTATGAAGCAGGTAAAATTCAAGGCAGGAAACTCTCCGTCAATCCAGCAGTTAGGACTCCATGCCTTTATTGCCATGGGCCTGGGTTCAATCCCTGCTCAGGGAACTAAGATCCCATAAGATATACAGTGGCACCAAAAACAAAAAATATATATCCTTTATCACTGAGGGAAAAAAATAACATTTGTAATACAGAAAGGAATTTTGTAAACATTTTTGATTAATGAGACATAACATTCAAGACAAATCTATACAAGGTGTGTAGCTGAAAATATCTTTCAATGAGGCCAAAGGTTTGAAACTCTCAAATGACTTATTAACTTTTCTCAGTCATGCAGCACATGGGAAGGGTATAAAGTTAATGTTTGTTTTAGGGGATTATAGCAGGGAGGAATAGAAGGGTTATGTTGCCAGAAAAACAAACTAAATTTTTTCGCAGAGAAAAATACTGTGGTTGAAAACAGGAGCCAAGAAACATACTAATTAGAAACACTTGATAAAAACTAAATTATTAAACAAGCTAGAAGAGAAGACTAAGATAAAAGAAACTAAGTGTAGAATGCTTGTTTCCTTCCACTAGAGTTTTGTAAGAATGAGCTCCAATTTTATGTAAGGTACAATTAGATTCAGTGATTACTCACATTAGTACAATAAGAAATTTGACTCAGTAGTGCAAGTAAGCCATACAGTTAATTATTCATTTTATGTTTTTATTTGGCTTTGGAATGTGTTTTTTGTACTTATTTCTCTAGGGCTTTACTTGATAGACTGGGAACTTATTTCAAACACTGAGAAGATCTGACTCAGGAAATGCTGGGACGAAGTCCAGTGTGTTTATCCTGACCCCTGTTCAACTTCTTCCTGCAGTCCAGTCCATGCTGGGACTAGACAACTCTCCTCTGAGGCTGAAGCTAACCAGACTATGCAGCACCCTCTTCTCTCCACAATTCTCTGGAACTGGGGTAGTTTTTAAGTGCTTGGATTTCCAACGGATCCTTGAAAAGCTACTTTAAAAAAGAATAAATAGATGGCCTATTAGTCAAGCAAATAATTGGGCAGGAAAATGTCATTAATTTTTTTTTTTTTAGCACTGAAAACATTCTGTATCGGGGTTTAGTCTATTAACAATGTTGTGATAGTTTCAGCTGAACAGTGAAGGGACTCAGCCATACAAACAGTCATTAAATTTAAAATGAATTTGTAGAGAATTCATATCATCCACAAGTGGATCATGGAAATTTAAAATTTATTAAAGGAGGATCTAACTGTAATTATGTTTTCTATGAAATTAGTATATTCTGGTTTTTATTTTAATGAGACACTTTGAAATTAAAAAACAAACAAAAAAAATTTGCATGACTTGAAGACCAGAATACTGCTGGATATATTCCTTTGAATGTTTGCTATTAAGGGTTGGTTTAATTTTATTTGTCCTTTCTTGCTTTTTCTTTGGATAGCATTTTTTTGAGGTTTTTCATTTTTAAATGACTAAAGGACCTACTGTTTAAATGAACTCTGATGAGTCATTTTGTTAACATAATCACCTCCTGATAGTAAGAGGGATAAGTGGGTCTTGTTTGTAACCTGAATTTTTATGGCCTTCTTTGTAATCTGAATTTCGTTATGTATCAGAGTTATTTTGCTTTTTTTCTTTTTATTAAGCAATAGGTATGTGCAGGCTCACAGGTTACTTTAAATCTATTTATGAACACTTTTAAATGATTACTAAGCCTTGTTTTTCCTTCTCCAACCATGGAATAATTTTTACGTTTCTCTCTTCTATCTTAATTTAGCTAACGTCACTCAATAGAAAATATACAATTGCCTCAGTAAGGGCTGGGGAAAGTTCTAACAAGGGACTACTACACCAGTGTGTTCTGATCATTTTGTTAACATTAAAAACCTTTGACTGTGGGATGCTTAATACTCAAAACTTGGATTTCCTGAACATTCTTGTTAGATTGTTAGTATGCTTTTTGGTTTTAGTAATTATTCCTGTTTTCCTTCCCTACTCTAGTTGAATGGATCGCAGCTGTTACCATTGCTGCTGGAACAGCTGCAATTGGTTATCTAGCTTACAAAAGATTTTATGTTAAAGATCATCGCAACAAATCTATGGTAAACCCTCACATCCAGAAAGACAACCCCAAGGTAGTACATGCTTTTGACATGGAGGATTTGGGAGATAAAGCCGTGTACTGCCGCTGTTGGAGGTCCAAAAAGGTAAGAGAAACAAGTCCTTCATGTCAATGTCATGTTTATGTAACATTTCTTTTTAAACTATTCTGTCAAGCTGGCATCATCAAGAATTGTTAAGATATCTGTTCTTTGGGCTTCCCTGGTGTCTCAATCAGTAAAGAATCCACCTGCAATGCAGGAGACCTGGAGTCCTTGGATCGGGGTGATCCCTTGCAGAAGGAAATGGCAACCCATTCCAGTATTCTTGCCTGGAAAGTCCCATGGACGGAGGAGTCTGGTGGGCTGCAGTCCATGGGGTCGCAAGAATCAGACACGACTTAGCAACTACACCACCACCACCCCTTCTTCTTTTCTTTCTCTTTTTAATGGAATCTCTGTTTTCTCTATTTTCTGTGTACTCTTCAGAAATATATTTACTGAAATATATAACCACCATGCAGTAAAGTTACATCACACCCTCGTTGAGTTAGGTAAATGTAACCATATTTTTTGCCAAAGAAGAGGGAAAAATTCCTTTGCTTATGTTTAGAATTTCCTCCCCAAGTGTGTCTTAGTGTCCACTATCCCAGGAAAAGGAGTATGCAGCCTAAATAAAAAGAAAAACAAAAAATTAAATAAAATAATAAATACAAAGAGAAATAGAAGAGGTTCATTTTTTTTTTTTTCCTCTTGGGATTTCAAGCTCCTGGATTCTAGGACAAGTTTTGAAAATATCTAGAGATTCACCTGAAACTATCACAACATTGTTTGTTAATCAGCTGGTAGCTCTGTTAGTAAAGAATCCTCCTGCAATGCAGGAGACCTGGATTCGATTCCTGGGTCAGAAAGATCCCCTGGAGAAGGGATAGGCTACCCATTCCAGTATTCTTAAGCTTCTCTTGTGGCTCAGCTGGTAAAGAATCTACCTACAATGCAGGAGACCTGGGTTCAATCCGTGGGTTGGGAAGATCCCCTGGAGAAGGGAAAGGCTACTACCCACTCCAGTGTTCTGGCCTGGAGAATTCCATGGACTATACAGTCCATGGGGTCGCAAAGAGTCAGACATGACTGAGTGACTCACTTTACTTTGCTTTATACCTCAACAGAAAATAAAAAGTTTGTTTCTTTTTAAACATAAAAATTAAATGCTAGGTTAAAAAAAAAGAAATATCAAGAGAAACTGTTAGAAAATTGCCCCTGAAGATTTCTTACCTAGTACTGACCCTGTATCCTAAGCTTTCTTTAAGTTGCAACTCCTACATTTGAATATCTAACCCAAGATTTTTTTGTATCTTTTTTTCTTTTGTGAGAATTGCATTTTATCAAGTTCCATTTGGAAGTATCTCTGTGATACCTGCAGCTTCTAGATAGTGATGACAGCTAGTGACCTAAAGATGGTAAAATGTTCTTCTAAGGTCATCTTGAAAAGCTTCATACATTGAATGACTTTAGAATTTCTGGTATATTTAGAGAAATATGATGACATACTGTGCGTACTTCCACTATTTAGCATTTAAATAAAATAGATTTGACACCATCAGGCCTAAGAACATAGACAATAAAAATGATGTGTCTATTTCTGAAAGCAAGGTGTATCAGGGACCTTGTCCCACAGTGGAAAGCCATTATCACAAATTACATGTTGCAGATAAGGAAGAAGTCACATACCAGATACTAGAAAGCATATTCTACTTACCCCCTTCTCTGGCTGCAGTTGATGTTGTATAATCCAAAGGTGATAGACCACTTAGATTATGTCATTCTGCTTGAAAACTGCTTGATGAACATATGGAATATGAACCAAAAATTAATAGTCACATTACAACAAATTGTTCCTTCAGAAGAGCACTGTTCATTTGGAGTGTGGGATTGTTTATACATACTATTGAGGTTGCTAGAAAATAATCCTCAATAATATTCTATAGACTAGATCTGTTTTTTTTTTTTAATTAACACCTATAATAGGTTTCATTCTGTAGTTGCTCACCCAGATATAAAAAGTAATATATTTAGAAATTAAGGAATTTCTAAGTCCAGAGTTGTATTGGTTCTTTAGTCAGTGATCTTAAATAGTTCATTTAGCTTCTATTACTAGATACATGCGTGGGAACACTTAAATAGTGAAACAGCAGGTGTCATAGATATGTATAGTTGGTGCACTATGGGTGCTTTAAATAAAGAGCTTGTTACACTATGGGCTCGAATTTTCTGGAAAAACGTAGTGATATCCATAGGAGTTCAATTGCCCCCTGGGAAGACGAATCAATGAAGACTCTAGTCTGGTCCTTGCACCTCCTTCCTCGAAAGAATAAGTCCAAATCAAAAATCTTAAGTACCAAGGAAACAGTTCACCTCAGACTGGAACTTGAACCCATGTGCTGGGTCTCGAGCTCAGCGAGAACCCTGCTTGGGACTGTAGCCCATGTGGCTGGGACTTAAACCCATGTGGTGGGGACTGGAACCCAGTATTACAGTAATCTTATATGGGGGCTTAAGTTCTAGTGGAAGTCGACTTGTTCGCCATCTTGGACCTGTTTGGTTCTAATCAGTTTATGTCATGTCCTTGGGCTACGTCATTCTTTTCAAGATTGTGCCCTACCCCCTTCCTTCCTGTTGCACCTTCGCAAGGAGTTTGCCTCCCAACATGGGGGAGCTCCCTGTCAGGGAGTTCAGACATAAAGTTATACTTAAACCAGAGTGCTTACTGTGGGAATGAAGAAAAACGAACAGATACATGAAACATTTTGAAGGAAGGAGTAGCCAGTGAAGGGAGGATTAGCTGTGAATGATTTGTGCAGAAGATTGAGGGAGGAAAACTGAAGCTCACTGAAGTGTCTTGCTTAAGGTAGGATTGTAGGGTTAGACGAGATGGTACCATCAATGGAAATAAGGAATTTGGAGTGAATGGCTGATTTTTCAGCACACCAATGAAGAGTGCAATTTCAAAGAGTGACATTGAGGTGACATTTGAATGGAAACATACAGCAGACAGTCTGAAGTGTGGGACTAAAGTTGAGACATCAGGCTTGGAGATGGCAATCAGCAGAACTGTGAGTCAAGGGTAGGAAGGCAGCAGATCCTTGATAGAGATAAAAATCAAGGAAGGGCTAAGTAAGAAATCTTTGGAGAATTTTCTGCGTCTTCTAAAAAGGAAAAAGAGCCAAAAAAGGAGATGAAATGGACACCAGAGTTAAATGTAAACTAAGAATATCATGGCTTCAGTGCTAAAAAGAGAAAAATTTCAAAGAAGATTTTGTTATAAACATCAGCATGTGCAAAAGACAAGAAGGTGAATAGACTATTATACTAAGACTGTGGGGTTAAGCAATTGACCTTTTGGCATCATTTGGACAGAATAATTAGAATAGGAGCTGTGTCCAAGTTGGTTACAGTATGAATGTGTAAATGTGACACTGAATGGAAAGAAAAAGAAATACAATGACTGCTTGAGTGAAGCCAAGTAAAGAGTGTTTTCTTTGGTTGGTTGGTTGGACTGCAAGGAGATCAAACCGGTTGATCCTAAAGGCAATAAACCCTGAAGATTCATTTGAAAGATGGATGCTGAAACTGAAGCTCCAATTCTTTGGACACCTTATGCAAAGACACAACTCATTGGAATTAACCCTGATACTGAGAAAGACTGAAGGCAAAAGGAGAAAGGTGTGGCATAGGATGAGATGGTTAGATAGCATCACCAACTCAATGGACATGAATTTGAGCAAACTCCAGGAGATGGTGAAGGACAGAGGAGCCTGGCATGCTGCAGTCCATGGGATCACAAAGAGTTGGACACGACTAAGTGACTGAACAACAGCAACAAAAGGTCAGTAAAGCAAATATGGACTTTTTTTTCAAATATGGACTTTTACAAACTAAAATCTCAAGTATTTCAGGAAAAATCACAAATGGACACAAGCTAATGGTTTAAATGTTTCAATTTTCTCAATGTCTTCTTTCTTTTTAAGCTAGTCTTTTATGTCATTATTAATCCTCTTTGCATCTATGATTTGTCAGTTCTAAATTTTCACTGAAGCTTGGGCACTTTTTATTCCCACATGAGTGAATTCAGAGATCACTTTGAATGCTTTCCAAATTAGTGGATGTGCTTGCTCTCCAGAAATTTTTGGAAAGTCCGCACATTCCTGAGGTTCTTAAGGTTGTCACACAGGTGCCAAGTCATATGTTTACATGTCTATGCACAGAAGGCTTATAACCAATAACTTTGATTAGATGGCTAAATTGAGTTTATATTCAGTAGTTTTTCTTCATATAAACCAGTTTTTATAATATTAATAATGTAACAAAATTTAAACTCCTATCCAAAAAAAAGAGTTGCATGTGATATAAGCTAATTCAATTTTAATTCCTTCTTTTTTTGTCGAAGTATAGTCAGTTTACAATATTGTGTAAGTTTCAATGTATATGTTTGGCTGGGTCCCTTTGCTATTCACCTGAAACTATCACAACACTGCTTGTTAATCAGCTATACCCCAATACAAAATAAAAAGTTAAAAAAAATACTGTGTGAGTTTCAGGTGTACACTGTAGTGATTCAGTTTTGGGGAGTTTTTGCTGATTATATTCCATTATAGGTTATTACAAAATATTGAATATAATTCTCTGTGCTCTATGGTAAATCCATATTGCTTATCTGTTTTTTATGTGTGGTAGTTTATATCTGTTAATCCCATACTCTTAATTTGTCCATCTCTCCTCTCATTCATTCTTAAGGTACAGTCACTAGTAATCTGTTGGGTGTTTCTAACATTTTGAGCAGTTTTCTCAGACCTAATGAATCAGATCTCTTAGTCATGTTCAGAAATGACATGCTTTTAACATGCATGCTCCTCTCTTCCCACCCACACCCCGCCCCGCTGGCTTGGCTCTGCTCTTCAGAAACTGGCCTGTTTCTTGGTATTTCACAAGAGGGCTATCCCTAAGTAAAATGAGGGAAAGGGGAGCCACTACCGAGGAAATGATTAAAACAACTACCGGGAGAAATCCCATCTGAGACAGTGGTGTGTGGAGACAGTGGAAGGAAACAA